CGTTGTAGGAACTCAGGCTTTTAGTTTACAATCCAAGATTCGTAGCTTATCGTCTAAATCCAATTGTGATTAAGCAACCATGGCTTAACACGACGTTGGCAGACCCGGCTCATCCTTAGCTCATCCACAGTTTTCCTTTTCTCCGCGTATGGCACATAACAGGAATCGGATTTAAACCGAAAATATAGCCGATATGATTTCTGTGTCGAGGAGCGCGTGAAAGCCTACTGGAAGGGGCAGATTAGAAGGCGCACGCAAACCTTCGCCCAGTGAGTAAGCAGCTGCCGACAGCAACCACCACCTCCCTCCTCCTCCTCCTATGGTTGCGCATGGGGCCCAGGCAGGCTTTGAACCTCAGTCAAAGATTAACCATTTATTTTAGCACATTTCCTGCAGTTCATAATCAGCTGCGAGCGCCCGGCCCACAGAGTCTTGAATCTAGGAGACCCAGCTGTAGCCTCAGGCAGCGCCTCTTCATCGGTGGCGCGCCATTGCTCCCCTATTGAGAAAACAGGCAACACCTCTCGTGATTTCGGAGGGCAAATTCAGTCTGCCTGGGCGACGCTAGCCCTAACCGTGACCGCCGCCCCCCCAATCCCAAGACGGGACCTTCGAAAAGAGGAAGGCTTTCTGCTTATCCCCACCTCGGAAGGCTTCAACCGCGGAAGCTTTTAGTCTCGCTAAAGAAGCAGCGTGGGCGGGTTCTCTCTCCCCCTCCTCTGCGCGCAGAGCTCATTCACACAGATCTGGCAGGCTGACGTTCGTCCAAGAAGGCTTCCAATTGGCTCGATACCCTGGGAGCCTGGAGGCAGGAAAACAAACGATCGCGGCCAAGCCAGCGGTGATTGGCGAAGCTCTTCGCACATCACAGGTCTCTGGAATCGCCCTGCAGCTGTTGCTGGAACCTCAGGACCGTGACGTTGCACCCACTCCTATTACTGCTCTTCCAGCTGCTGGGTTGACCTCCCCCTCCTTTTATCGGCTGTGTGTCTCCTTCATCTTTTCTTAGGAAGCGTGACAGCCACCTTTTCATCTATGCACGACGCCTCGGCCACGTACCTTGCTCTCTGTCATGCCTTTCAAGTCTTGCGTATCAACATTTAAAAAGGATTTGGATTTGCGCAGGTAGAGTCCTTCGAATACCGCGCTTTAACTCTTTAATGCTCAAGCCATTGCATGATTGCGTACTGAAGATTGACATTGCAGGAAAAAAAGTGAGTTATCTGTATTTACTTCCCCTCACCTGCTCTCCGTGCATGCATTAGCCAGTTGGAAACTTTTTTTTAGTAATCTTCTCAGCTGCGTAGTAAATTAGATTAAAAAAAAAATAACCCCCCCTTTAATAGTAATAAAAGGTAACCGCTGCTATTAAAGCAGACAACTTTTGCCTAATGTTCTATTCTGCGCCGTTTATTTGCATTGTACAAGCGCTTTGTAAACTGCGTGACCTACTTGAATAGTGTCCCTTTTTCCCTTGCCCCGTTGCTGTTTGCTCAGCTCTGTCTACTAACTTGTTAAATCAGGGCAGGTACGAATGTTAGTTCCCGAGAATAAATGCCGAGGGGAGAAGGCGACTGTTTTAAATCGGATTATCCTTTCTCTATGAGAAGATGCGCCAGCGTTTGACTCTCAGAATTATTTTACTGGCCGACTGAAAGGTCGGTCCAGTAAATTGCGACCCCAATTATTTATATTGTTATATTGCTCTTTCCACCTCCTGAAGCAACAAACTCTTTTTAAAAGAAATAAATAACCAAAACATCTCAGTCAGCTTCCTTCCATATTTTTTTATTTTTAACTCCAAACCAGACGTTTTCGCTGTCGGGATCAGGGTCTAAATGTTCCCTGCCTCGCTAGAGGCCTGTCCTAAGACGCCTTGCATACCACCACCACCGTTGCTTTCTTGCCAGTTAATCATTTGGGAGTCCACCGGAATGTCATTTGGAGTTGGGTGACTGGGAGTATCGCATCCTGCCAAGCTCTATCACAAATCAGAGACCTCATACATTCCCTGGGCGGCTGTGGCCCAGGATGTCCCTTGCCTCGCTTGTGTAGAGAAAACACACACACCAAATATGCCGAGAGGGGTGTTGACCACTCACCTCCCCCCCCGCCCCATCCGTGTGTTATCCATTTTTGTTTAGCTGATGTCGGTAGGTCTGGATTTTTCTTAAATGTTCCAGACAGTATAAAGTAGCAAGTGCGCAATGACCAAGAGCTTGTTTTTTCTTCCTTCCTCTCAGTCCCCTCTTTTTCCTATGAGCTTCCATGGGGATTTTACTCTTCCTTTGCACCTGAGAAGAATGCCCCATTCCCTTACTTCGTTTAGCCACTGACTTTTTCCCTTACATTAACTAAGAGGGGGTCTTGTATGAGAAGAGACCATCGTCCTCGTATCTACCGCTAGCCAGTGTCCCTTGCTGCTCCTACCAGCCAGCTCCATGTGGAACAGATGCTAACTTCAGCAATTACTGCATAATTCAGGTTCGGCATGGCTTTCAGAGGGGACAAGTATCTTTCCTCCACCCCCGCGAGACTGGCTGTTGTACAGCTCCGCGCTATTGCGAAGCACGCGCTCCGCAGGGAGCACCAAAGAATGTTCCACATGCTGTTGCTGCTGGCTGTGAGGACCACCCCTCCACCCCCTCTTCCTGAGGATTCCTGGTGCCCTCTTAGGGCTCCCACCGCCCCCGGCCCCCTTGCTGGGGGATTTTCTGGGCAGCTGCTTCCAGGAAGTTCCAGCAGAAT